TGATGAACAATCTTTTCACATGTGTGTATTGCCATTGAGGACATCGTTTTTTGACATTTTAAATGAGGTAAAATAATTGTAAATGAAAAATAAGCTAGGCCTAGGCTAATTAATTTAAAAAAATAATATAGCAGTACAAACAAGTTCCTGTCGTGGACAGCGAGTGGAAGAGGAGACTCTCATGAAGTCAAGTGTACGTTTTTCTTATTGAAAAACAGTTCCATACTTTAAATTAACGGTCTAAACTCGTGTTTGCCATTCACAAATTATCAAACAATACATTGTTTATTCCAGTAAGCTGCAGCAGTCTTTCTGCACATAGAAATAAACAACATGCTTTTGCTTCGTAGGTTCGCTTCGCGTAGCCTTGCTTAGATTGTTTATATCAGGCTACGAAGCCTGCGCGCAGGTTAGATTGTTTATATCAGGCTACGATGTATCTACGAAAGCCTGCGTGCAGGTAAAAGTGCAATATTTCATGACTGTACTGTACCTTGTGTATTCTGTTTGCATGATATTTGCACTGTTTGAGTTTACACTGCTGAGTTTACAATCGTGGAAACTAGTAATTACAAACTACTGTACAACCTTCAGTAGAAAGAACCCTTTCTAACAGGAAACCTTCAGGTCCAAAAAAGTGTCCCCTTATTAGATGCATTGGTCGTGGTGTTGAAAAGATTGTATTTCTTCCCATTCCTTCCAAAAATTTCTCTATAGGGGACTACCATTAAAAGATATTTTCTAAAGGAGGGCTTCTAATTATTTGTTCACTACTGTAGTAGGCCTGTAAAGAAAAAAGAAACACACACACATACACACACACCACATAGGAAGCATGGAAAATGTAAAAAAAAAAAAAAAAAAGTATGAGTTTGAGTCCCATTTTAAAACCAATATTATGCCAAATTGAGAATATGACATTTTGTTTACAAAGGTTATCTTGTCTATATAATTTTCCTGAGTATCTCTATTTGCACTATGACTAAAGCTGATGCAATTTCAATATAGGTAGCCAACTCTGAAGTGTACAGTGCTTGGATATTTTTACAGGGTAAAATTTTTACAAAATATTTATGAAATCGAAAGTGGCTAGCTACAATATCCTGACACCATAAATTACTAATTGTTGATGTTTTCATATTCAGTGTTTATTTTAGTTTATTCATAGTGTACAAGATTTTTTTAGTACTTTTCCATAGACCAAAGCACTGTAAATAGTTGGAAAACTATTTACAGGTTTTAGGTTTGTTATGGGCTGCAATAAAATCCAAGGCTGCATTAAATTTTTAATTGAAATATTAATTTTTTTCTATTCTTACTTTTCTTCTTTAGTACGTGGATCAAGACCTGGAAAAAATGTTCAACTTACTGAAGCAGAAATTCGTGGACTTTGTTTGAAATCTAGAGAACTATTTCTCAGTCAGCCAATATTGCTTGAGTTAGAGGCACCCTTGAAAATTTGTGGTAAGTAGGTGTTTTCAGATTGTTTACTTATCAATTCATAATGTATGATGTTTGGTGGTGATCGGTTTATGACTTTCTCAGTGTGGGTGGTTACCTATTATAGTGTAGGCTTTTCAAACAAAAATTGTTGGTGCCCAAGGTCAGCTGGTGGTGAATTTTTTGATATACTGTAAAACCAGAAATATCACATGTAAGCATCTTTGCAAGTAGTCGGGTATCGTGAGCATGGATAAGTTTCAAAACAAGTTTTTTTGGTCATTTTAAAACACTGAATTTTTTAAAGACAATAATGAACAATAAAATTATCCTTGGGTAAAGATATTTGTCATAATGTTAAGCTCAATTAATCAGTATTTATGTGAGACTTGTTCTATAGAATTCTCTCAACAGTATTTCAGTGTATACTGATTATATAACAATATATTTGGCTTCAGCTGTTTATCCCCTAAAATATTGCCTTTTAGATGAGGCGTTTACTGTAAGCCTTTGGTCCCATGTGTAATATGGCTCATGTGCGCGTTAAAGAGAGCAGTACACAATTCTTAAGAGTACAGGATTGTCTGCCGATATGCTGCTCTATTCACAAACAGGAGGAGCCAACTTGAAATAAGTCTTCAAACTTGGTGGGTTATCTTTGAATGTGTCATTCACACCAAAAGTACTATCCTATCTTATCCTGTCCTGTGTTGTAATCAAAATTCTGTGAAAATTCAAGTTGCTCATGTTTGCTTTCTTCTCACTTCCAGGTGACATCCACGGTCAATACTATGATTTGTTGAGATTATTTGAATATGGTGGCTTCCCACCTGAAGCAAATTACCTGTTCTTAGGCGATTACGTTGACAGGGGTAAACAATCATTAGAAACAATATGCCTACTGCTGGCCTACAAAATCAAGTATCCTGAGAATTTCTTCTTGCTTCGTGGCAATCATGAGTGTGCAAGCATCAACAGAATCTATGGCTTCTACGATGAATGTAAGTGCATTATTCCCTTTTTTCAGCTGCTGATATATGGTTAAGTAATCCTAATTCTAAGTAGCTAAGTAGTGTTCTTATTTGATTCAGGCACATGGCAAATTATTACCAACCAACAGCGACTTAATCATTGTCCTATAGATAGGCGAACATCTGAACCACCAAGCTATTTAACTTCACTCTCAAGAAAGTGGTTGATTGGGGATTGGGCTCAGTCAACTAAGTCTCTCATTGCTGTTTAAAGGCCATCTGATCTATTTCTGATGTTTGTATTTTGTACAATATTCATCGAAGAATAGGCCTAGTTACTAGTAGAAATCAGATTTACAGAGTGCCTACTATAATGATGATGATAATGATAATAATACCACCATAATAATGCCATCAAAAAATAATTATAATACCTTTAGGTTTCTTGGGTTTAAACCAAATCAAGCTTGTTTGTATGGGAAGCTAAAAGTGTGTTCAATTTTATATTCAAAAGTACGAAGGTACGGGTGGGTGCAGGTGAGCTTATCACTTAAGGAACTACTGTACGATAATGATATATTATTAGCAAATTAACGTTTATTTGAATAAATCACCCATATTTATCTTATGTACTGTGTTGCGTAGATAATGTTCTTTTAACAATTAATAATTACTATAGTAGTGTGTTGTAAATGAGTGCAGCATTAGGTCATGAGACAGTTGACACATGGCTGAAAAAATAAGTCATCGAATATCAATGTAATTGATAAATTTGCTACTGTAATAGCGCATAAACAAATTCTCAATGAGTTTGAAAAATAACTCTTACAATAATAATAATTGATGGTTAAACTTCATTTACAAATATGTTTTTATAAATTGATTTGAAGTGTAGAGCACACAATGAGTCATTGGTTATTGATTTCTATGGTATAGTAAATTGAGTACCATAGTGGCTATGGTACTCAATTTGCCATAGAAACCAAACAGAACTATCAGTATAGTCTGCCAATGTAGTTACATACTGTAATTCTAATCATTCACTGTAAAAAAAAAAAATTGAAGGGAGTTTGGTTTATTGCTATAATGGCTTAGAAATTTTTTTTTTTTCTAGTGAACTATTGTTATATTGTAATTATTGTTTCCGTGTTAACTTGAGATTGGTATGAACAGAATTTGTACATGGATTATCAGATCATACTTGCATGTGAGAATGTATGCTTCAGTGCAACACTTCAGGCTTTAATTTTTTTTCAATACCAAAGAGAGTCAAAATGTCTGTCCTTGACATGAAGGAGTTGAAAGGGTATGATAGACAGGGCTGGCAAAAGTATGCAGTCGGAGCTAACCATGAAGGTCCCAGAGGCATTTTGGGAGAAATTAAAAGATGTTGTTGGGCTACATGTATATGGTACAGTACAGGCAGGAAATATCGCTTCATATCTGCGCGTAACCACTCGTAGCCTGCTCGTAGGTACCGTTTGGAACGTAGCTACGAACCACTATGAAGGTCATTGTTATTTTAATTAGCTTTGCAATGATCGTAGGCTGGATCGTCGGGCTGATAATCAATGCGTAAACAATATTGAAATATAGTTTACCAGCTTTCAACACGTAAGCAATGTTGCAATTTACTGAATAAACAATGTTAGAACTTTATTGTTTTGTTATATCCTACCTTATTATTAAATCGATCATGTTTTAAAACTGTGTTTAGTTCGCTAGCTGGGTGGGTAACCTAGTGGGCATTCAGTATGTTCGAATTTTGATGTCATTTAGGCTTACGTACGGCCTACATTTCCCCTATAGAGGAGGAGAGCAGACAGTATTTATACTGGTAAACTTTCCAATTCGGAGAATTTTGATCTGATATTATTCTTCTGGTAGTAGGAATTTTCTTCTTTTAAATAATACTGATGACAAATCATGTATAAATTATTACGATTTCTACAGATCACGTTGTTTATTGTTTACCGTAATTTGAAGCAGAACAACCTGCAAAGCGATCCAATACTAAATGGAAGTATAGAAATCACTACCTTACCGAATTAAGGCTAATCATGCTAGACCGCATTTACTCCGTTTTTTACTCACTGTTGCTCACAGCTTTTCAACATTTGCCACGAGGCTAACCTTTAACACACTTTACTGTGTTCTGATTGGCGCGCACTCTGACGTCTAATGCTGACTAAGTTTTATTTTCCATTGGGTTTTCCATGTGACATTCGGTAATTTTACAACCAACGGACGTTAATTCTCCTTTATATTTATTATTTATCTTACTAAATCAAGACTACAAAATATTATTTATCTTACTAAATCAAGACTACAAAATATTATTTGATGAACAATCTTTTCACATGTGTGTATTGCCATTGAGGACATCGTTTTTTGACATTTTAAATGAGGTAAAATAATTGTAAATGAAAAATAAGCTAGGCCTAGGCTAATTAATT